ACGAACCACAAGCATTTTCCAGATCACAACAAGCAGGATCAAGCTTTCTTTTTTGCTACCAGATACGTCGACAACCGCGTCCTTCTTTTACCTGCACAGCTGACCCGACTGCCTCCTTTTGCACAGCTCACTGATGCATCTTTTTACAAACCACCGGTTCAGCTTGAAACTGAACCGGCCAACATTTTCCTGGGTTTCGCAATAAACCCTCAGCACAGCAGCCTCACGCATCAATGCACTTTGCACAAGGCGGACATTTTGCACCCACAGTCAGCCACCTCTGTTTCAACACTTCGCAGCAGTTTTCAGGCCCGCACACGCATGGTACGCAGAGTGACAACACCATGCAGCGAGGCCACATCAGCCATTCGAGCCATGCGCGATCTCTACATCGCTGCCGGCTATACTGATCAACAGCTGTAAGCAAAACACTGTGCCAGCTTGCCGTGCGTGGGTCCAGAGCCGTGCAATTTTGCAACATGAGAGCAGCCTTGTATTAACACAGTGTTTCCCGCAGCCATTTTCAGGGTTAACTGAGGCATCATCATGTATAAAAGTGCCATGACTGGCAGATTGCAGCCGAGCCACAAAGCGCTGAGCGGCCGTCCTCGGCCATCCATCTCCAAGCACAGCAGACGCCGCAACGAGCAACCTGCGGTGGGCAGCCACAACCCACAGCCGGCGCTTTTGCGCTCTCAGTTTCTACGTGTTGCAGAAGACGAAGATTTCCAAGACTACCAAGAGCAACACCAAGATCCGGAAGAACAACAGGATGCAGCAGTGGCTGCACCGGCGACTCCGCCATTCCCACCTCCGCATCACCCTGATCCGGATTCATCGGCTGAGATTATGGCAGCAATGACACAGTTTCACAATTCGTTGCTTGAGTCGAATGCCAAACTCGAGCGCCTGATACAACAGGCTACAACGGTGTTGACTACTCAGCACGAGGCTACCACGGCGATCCTCTCCTCGTGCAAACAGCAGCTCGACGTACTTGAAAGCCTCATCAGGCAAAACGCGCCTGATTGGTCGTGAATATGCTGCTAAGGCAAGCCGGTATAAAAAGTGCCAGGTAGTGCATACGTCTCACTTTTCAACACATGTTGCTTTCAGACAATACCATAACTCTGCCTTCTGAAGTTTTGCCTCACAGTGACACCTATTTGAATCCCGACATTGAGCCATGAGCGACTCGCCTCTTCCGCCAAACACAGCGACTACAGATTCGCCACCCGTCGATGAGGCACGACGTGAAGCTCTCTCCGCAGCCCTCATGGAGATTTTGACACAGCATCGGGACTATGAGTCCGAAACCGGAAGTGAACCTTCCACATTCAGTGACGAGGCTCTACGCGACCAATTAGCCGAGTTTATTCTGCAAACAACCCGGCAGATTACAGAGCTAAAGCAACGAGTGGAAAGACTCGAAGCTTCGCAACAATAGGTGATCAAACATGTTTTATACCACCATTGGGTGATTGCAGCAGACGGTAAAAACAACAATCGTTGTTTTGCCAAGTGAGACAGTCAGTGCACTCTCTTCACATGTGTTTGTATGCAGCGATTGATACACTCTGTCCGCAGCATTTTGCAAAACAACCAGTTGTGTTAGCACCATGGACCAACGCACCAGATCGCGATCTCCCACGGCATCACAATGGAGATGGCACTGGGCCACTAACGGCTCTTCATGGTGGCGTGAGTACTTCATCGCATCTGCAGAGTGGATACGAAAGCATTCGGAGCAACCTGATCAGCTTCCGACATCAACGACTCCTACCCAAAAGGAGCCAGCTTCCACTACATCAACTCCTACATCCAACAAGAGAAAGCGATCAAGAACTCCGTGAGCAGCATCGCTGAGTTGACAATTAGATGCACATTTGCTGCCCCCGGCAGCCAACAACCACACAGCAAAGCTGTGCTGTGAACCCCATCATCCCTGATGAGGGTCAACATTAAGAGCACCATGTTGAAAGGTCATGCCAGCCGGTGAGGTTGCCCAAGTGATGTATCTTTGTACATCTCTCTCTCTTTTCTGAAGATCAGCGTATGCACACGCCTTAATGCAGTTGTGACTCCGCAGCCATTTCTCAGAACTACAGTTGTTGAAACATATTTAGGATCGCACACAGATGGACGAAGACGACGACAGCAGCCTATGGGGATCCGAAGAGATTGATGCTTTTCTGAGGAAAGATGACACCGCCACATCCTCCCATGCAGTCAGTCACACACACAAGCAAAAAACAAAGCACACAACGAAGACAAAAAAGAAGAAAGACAACAAAGACAAAAAGGACAAAACAGTCGTGAAAACAAAGAAAACCCGCAACATCTCACCAGCATCCCAATCCACAACACAGCAACAACGCCAACATCCACATACTACAAGACGAAAGAGGACACGCTCTTCGCACTCAACATCATCAGCGTCACCTACGGCAACGTCACACATGGCTGAGGACGCACACCGATCTCCATCGCGAGATCCTTGGTCTTCTGACTCGATTGCACCTTACGATATTGTGCATCCTATTATTCAGCATAAGCGGTCCAAAACCGCTTGCGCAAAAATGCTGGTACGTGCAGGTTTCAGATGTAGATGCCATTTCAAGCTCATGAGTGACTGTCCCAACAAACTCGCTGTTGGATCCTAATACCCAGGACGGATTAGGGCTGCAAGATCCGCTAAGCGTGACAAAAAGCCTGCGCATGCGAGTGTCAGCACGACACCACTTGGTTGTTTATCCTGAGCACACAGCATGTCCATGTTGTTTTGCATTCCTTGTTCAAGCGTTTGTCGGTTGGTAGCAGCAAAATATGACAAAGCGAAAGGCTGCCGAGGCCGGCCTTCCATGGTACTCCATGGCAGGACAATGTTTTCGGATGACTGTTGAAATTCCACCCGACCGCATCACCAGAGACAAGCACATGCTCTTACACGTGGTGCTTTGTCTGGGTGACAACGTTCTACAAGCTCGCAAGATCTTCTCCTACCGCATCAAGGAGATCACCGGCAGAACTCCTAAAATCCCAGCTTTCTTCTTCGAACAAAACCGTCGACGACTACATGATTGGGATTCAGTCACCACATTAGCCACGTTGAAGCCGGTGCTTTTTGTTAGAACCTGTTCGGATCAGGAAATACGACAATCACCCGACCGCTAGTGACAGCGAGAAAAGTGCGCCACTCACTCTTTTTGCCACGGATCAGACATTTCACTCTACTTGAAGCCTGCACGCCCCATTGGGGCTGTGTGTGTGTGAACCTCCCTAGCACATGGGAGCAGAGGGTCACTCCTACACTGTTTGCAATTTTTGCTTTGCAACTCAATCAGACATTTGACATTTACAGAATCAAATGTTGCAGGGGGCCAGCGCATGGTGTTGTGACGCTGGCCAACGAAGCTAGCAACACCATGGGAAGAGGTTTGGGACGCCAAACCTTGTACCTGCACAAAATTGAGCTGGGGCCCCTGTGCCAGCCCGATTAGAAGGCCCCTGTGCCAAGATTAGAGAGTTTTCAGTTGCCACTTTTGGCGGTTGATTCGACAACAAACAAGTTGTACGGTTGCCACAATCTGACAAGCTTTTGCAACATGAACAACATGCCTCTCTTTTTCCTCTTGCACTCGTACTCTTGGCCGAATCCATCTGTGTGTGTGTGTGTGTGTGTGTGTGTGTGTGTGTGTGTGTGTGTGTGTGTGTGTGTGTGTGTGTGTGTGTGTGTGTGTGTGTGTGTGTGTGTGTGTGTGTGTGTGTGTGTGTGTGTGTGTGTGTGTGTGTGTGTGTGTGTGTGTGTGTGTGTGTGTGTGTTGTGTGTGTGTGTGTTGTGTGTGTGTGTGTGTGTGTGTGTGTGTGTGTGTGTGTGTGTGTGTGTGTGTGTGTGTGTGTGTGTGTGTGTGTGTGGGTGGGGGGGGGGGGGGTACTGTTCTGGTGTACCAAGAAACGCCATGAAACCACACCCCGACTGCGGGCCCCTGTTGGAAACTTGCATGGATCGGTGTCCTTGGTCCGCTCTCGCACCCAGATGTAATCGACTTTTCCTGGCATCTGTGTCAAGGGAGTTCCCGGGACCATGTACCATCCTTAACCTCCACCCCTGCAAAGAAGCGAGAATGGCAAAGGATCTCTCTCACGTGCCACAAACAAGGAATCCAGCCTTTGCCAGACGATTGGCCTTCGTCCTGATGGACTTTCAGAAACTTCAGAGGCTGACATGAGCTGCATCGAACCTGCTGTCATATGACAAGGACGTCCCGCGGCTTTGCCAAAAGCCCTGTTGATCTCTGCTGTGCTGTGTGTTCAGGCTTGCACGTCTCGCAAGCTTCGGCTCAGAGGCATCATGGACCCTGATATTACGAGCGTGAAGATTTTGATCTTGTGGGTGGAAAGTTGAAGGCAGTAGGGGGCCTGCTTGTTCGGCGGGCGCGAGAGTTGAGGCAAGTCCGCGCCGCGTGGCAGCGTGCTGTAGTGCCTCTCAGGTCCAGCGGTATTGCCAGCACCAGATGCCGTCTGTGCAAGTGTCGGGCGAGAAACGAGGCTTTGACGGACAGCTTAATTATCTAATAATGGCACTCGAACGACAGTCTCGAGTCTCCAGCCATAGTCATATCAGGTTCCCGTGCTCAGCCCCGTGCCTTTCCTTGTGTCCAAATGGACATCGAATAATACCTGCAAGGTGATCGCGAGTCGAGAGGTGACATATGACCATCAGAGCGCCGAAGAGCAGGTGTGCCTTCACTTCGCCCCTGTTCTGCAAAATCCTCGTTGAAATCTGCCTGAGTGCAAGATGCATGAGTCTCGTCCCGGCAACGTACATGCGCAGAGAGGTAGTTCAACCGACATTCGGGCGGCATCTCGTGGTTTCCATACTGTACGTGGTTCAACCCACTGGGATGATGGGTTGTCTATGGAAAAGTCTGATTCTGCCATGTCCTGTTCCTGTTGGACAAGAAATCGAAAAGCCATCAACCCCCGTCCAGGCCGGATGCTGTGAGGATCTCTACATCGGCGGAGCTCTCCTGCAGCGGCGAATGGCTTCAAGCCACAATCTCAATACCCACCTAACTACCCATCCCCAAACAGGGTCAAGCCCGCCCTCGCATCAAGGAAACGATCATTGATAACCGTGCGAAGAACGCTAGCCGCAGAGCGGTTCTGCGTGAGGATCTGTCCCTCAACAATGCCTGAACACCTGAAGCAGCTCGGACTGGCGACACTGAGAGGGCTACACCCTGAGCCATCCGATGTTGTCCCAGATCAAGCCATTTTCCAGCTCATCTCTGCATCCCTTGACATCCCACGATATTCCTGTGCATTCAACTTCGAGGGAACGTGACAGAGTTGAAACCCAGCAGTCCGCGGAAGCAAACTCTGCGAAGGCTTGGAGCTGCGCAGGACGACCCCCTGACCGGGCTCGTGAAGCGCTTCGGCAGTTCGGCAGCCTTCGCTTAACCCCTTTGCTGGCTTTCAGATCCCGAAGCGGACGCGCCTTTCATGTGCCCGGTGACGACGCGAATCTTTGCCCCACACTGGTGTTCCAAGTCAACGCCTGCTCGTCCCACAAACGACCCCACGGCCCCACGAGGTGGTAGCTGCGCTGTAAGCTGATGTCATCAGAAGCACTGCGATTCCGAGGAGCACATGTCTTAGAATCCCTGAAGAAGGAAGCGGAAGCTTCGGCTCTTGCTCCGGCCTCCCAGCGCGAAGCCTCACAGACTCACTTCTGGGCTTGTCTCGATCATATGCCGAAACTGTACCGCTTGCCCAACATGCTGGAAACCAATACCACCGACAAATCAATAAGCACAAGGACAACACTGAGGCCGTCTGGCCCACGATTGGAACCGCACTGTCTTCAGCCCGGAGGGAGCCGGGGGCTTAGAGGGCCTGGCCTTGATCTTCGCCAAGGATCCACTCCGGAGAGGTTTTGAAGGCGCCGCTCTTCACGGCGATCAGCAAACCTCGCCAGTCGAACTCGGCTGCGCGCACTCCCTCACACCGTCTCAAATTGTGCCAGCTCCAGTGACCGTCGGGCGGTCTCCGGGAGTGCTTGAAGTACTTCGCCCGGTATCCGCTCCCCAGATCCTCAAGTGCTTCTGAATCTACACTTTATCATCAGAGGGGTTGAGGGACAAAGATTTCTGGATCTGCCCGACCGTGTTGACGTGTCAACAGCTCCCAGATTCTGTGCCTGAAGGAAATGTAATGCATCTGAGACGCAGCCATTATCCTGTCGGGTTGCAAAGAAGGGCAACTTCGAATTCGGTTTTGCACCAAGCCAAATCGCGATACCGTAAAGTACACTCATCGGCAAAAGCTTGCCCTGTGTGTGGACAAGGCTCGAGTCCAGCTCGGTATTTTCTACTTCTTGCAAGCAGAGAACCTCAGAGCGATGCAGTCGGTTTTGGTGTTGAGTTTTGAGGCCTTGTCACTGCCAACCCAGCCGAGATGCATCAAACTGTCCTCGCTGCAGAATGTCCTTGGTTTTGTGGCGTATGACTTGTCACGGAACTGGGAATCCCGGCTCCGACGTTTGGTGGGCCTGTTGGCCCAGTCCCGTGATGCTCCAGCGGAATTAGATACCAGAAGCTGAACTTTTTTCTTTTCAGACTACGTCATTGGGGATGCTGCTTTGAGCCTCAGCACACGCTTGACATCTCCAGTTGTAAACAATGCCGATTGGCCACTGACACTGTCCCAAGAAAATGAGATGTGTGATGCTCGTGCCACAACTAGGGACGGGCCGCAGCCCACCGAACTAGAATACCTAGAAAAACACAGCCCCTAACCCTGCTTTGCATCTCCAGGCCCCGGTATTTGTACGATGGATGGGTCTGGGACTATACGATGGAGAAGGGCGGGGTAGCGGGGGGTCCAGGCGTGCAACATAGGACCGCCAACTTTCCCGGAACAATTCACGCACAACTTACTGCGCACATTAGGACCCCGGTAAGGGAGACTTTCATGCCACTTTACGTCTTGGACTTTGACAAATTCCGGCAGTGAGGAGCCCAAACGCGATCGGAATCTTCAAGGACACAGTCTCTCTGTAGAGGGGAGCCCCGTCTCCTAGAGTTTTTTGAGCGGGCCTTGAGTCCTTTACGGAAATGCGAAGGGGCTGAAGATGATGCCTTCGGCCCCTAAGCTCTTGGGCATTTGGCTTAAGGAAGCATTTTGCGGAGGTCCCTTTTAAAAATCTGCGATGGAAGGGGGGTCCCTGTACGTTTCTGGCAGATATTATGTAATACTGCGCATGCGGCCGCATCGTACATTGCTTAGCACGGGGGGCTCTGGGGACGGGCCCTGAGCTTCTAAGGGAAGAACCTGAGCTCTGCAGACAAGCTTCTCGCATCACTGGCCAGCGCACCGGCCTGACTGTCGGGAAGTGCGAGAGTCCCAAGTGTTCCTTCTTGCCCGGCTTCAGACGAGCCCAGTGACTCGCTAGGCTAGCTGGTACAAGTCCGGTGGAATCTCGAGACAGTGCAGAAGCGGCAGTTTGGAATGACTTGCACAAAATACTTCGTGGTCGTTCAAAGACTGAGACATCAACGACAGAGAGCCGAACGGGACTGAACCGAGCGCCACACCAATTCGAGCTACCGTCCGCTGCCATGCCTTGCTGCTCCTGATGCATGATGCCAAAGTCTTGGCAGAAGACCACGTTTAAACTCTGGATGGCAGAATCTCATGCACTGCAAGACGAGCAGAGTTTGTAATCTTGCGCCGAAGGGTGCGAAGCCTGTTGCCAAAAATGTTCCATGCGGTATACCACGGTACCGTCACGGCCGATTGCGCACAAGCGAGACAAGGATCCCACAGACTCACTGACTGAGCAGTGCCAAATGCCCATTACATTGACACAATTGTAATTGGTTGTTGCGCGAAAAAGTCGCTCATGTTCAAGTCACGAGATTCACGGCTGTCCTTCCACTTGACAGCATACGTTGGGCAGAGCCTTTCGAAAAGAAGCCATCAAGAGTGGGTCAGCCGGAGTGAAGGATTTCTGAGCGTCTGAAGAAGACAGAAACACTTCTGGGGCCCAGACAGATTGTATGTACCTGACTGCGAAAGAACTTGACTGGAACTTTCGCCTGTAGATTACAGATGTGTTGTGTCTCAATTTGCAGTCGCCCTGATGCCATGCAAAGTGGCTTTGTCCTGATCTTCCAGGATGGGAACTGCAAGTGCAGTGGCATTTAATGAGCCCCAGCGGCATATCGAAAATGTGGGAGCTTGCTGTTCGCACTGGACTCGGTACCTGCACACGATGCGATTGCGATTATTTTCCGTGGAGACTGCATGTGCTTGAACAATCAGGTTATGTCATGCCATGCCATCAGAGTCCAATCTTGTAAAGAAAGGTGTGGAGAGCAATCACTCTACCTGCAATTCCGAAAGCCACCTCAGGCCCAACCAGCAGCCGCAACCCGCAAAGGCGAAAGGAACGGCCCTACCTCTGGTTGATGCTCAGTCGATGGCTTTGAACCGCTCGCAACATGTCAGCAGACCCGTGACGCGATGCCGAAAATACAAGCTGACCGTATGCATGATTTGCAATCGACTGCAATCGCTAAGCCATGCTAAGCTGGCCCACCAGCACGGCGAGCCCACATCGGCCGACTGCCTCAGAGATGGGTGCATCCTCACAATTGCTCAACAACCGCTCCTCGCAAGCAATGACTTGGTTTCTCGCCGACACTCGGTGTCCCAAACCACCTTTGGGCCCCTGGAGCTTGATGGCTGCGAAAGTGGCGTGACGTGAACGCGATCATGGGTAACTTGAACAGGCAAGTCTGCCTGAGAAGACACTCAAACCCCAATTGCACAAAAGACCATGTCAGCCGATCATTGTAGACCCTTCAGGCGGCTTGCAGTGGAAAAAACACTCCGGTTGATGTCTCTGGCTAGGCCGATCTCGAGGCATGTGCAATGCACGAGTACAGCAACGCGACAGCTCAACTACCTCAAGGCGAGCCGAGCTCTGCTTAACTCCTTGACCGGCTTTACGAACAAAGCTCTCTTCTCGTTCGGCGTCTGCTACCACCTCGCCTCCGTACTGCCTCGAGTATGTCCGGCCACCGAAGTGACACTTTGCCAGACATGAACTATCCACATGTTATGTGCTGCGGTAAAACGCATTTATGCAAGTTCGCTCTGGTGCTCGCTGCGATGCAGGCCAGCCCTGTTTTTTGCAGGTGCAGGTGGGCGCGTGTGTGTGTGGGTGTGTTCCTGTGATGGTGTGGCTGGGTGGATTCTTAGCCATGCGCATGATCACGAGCCGACACCTCGCAGCCAACATGCCCTAGCCCTAGCTTTTCCATTCCACGGGCCTGCGCCGGATGAATCCAGCGACCACCACACAGAAAACTCGCACATCTTCCCGATCGATGTTGCTGTCGCCGAAGGCCACCACATCCAATCGCCTCCCAGCAGACGCGGGTTTTCTGCCCTACACCTGAGAACGGCACCAAAAGAAGGCTTCCAGTACCAAACACTTGGGGCAGGCCAAGCCTGCAGACCCCATCCCTCAACCTCAAGTTCGAAGCGACATCAAACGATGCTGGAACACAGACGCCGAGAAGCGGCTTTTTAAGCTCGATTGCTTGTTGTTGTCGGCTGTCGGAGTCACGATGCCAACATCGCTGACCGACGACAAAACGTCTCGCTCGTCCTCCTGGAACTTCGCCACCCGGCCAATAGAGAACCGAACAACCAGCCGACAAAGCGGCCACCCCAGCAAGCACATTAGCCCATCGCCCCGCTGTCATACGCCACCAAGTATCACTGATACCTGATACCCCTGCATCGTCCGATGTGCCGGACCGGACGTCAGATTGACGAACCAAAATCCCTATAGAAACCCTAAACCCCTAAACCCAAAACTCTCACTTGATGGCAGCTCTGCGGCTCTGCATGACCGAGCCAGGTTCGCATCTTGCTTCCCGCTCGAAGACGCGTACGCCTCGTACTGGTTTCTGCGCCCAGCTAGAAGTTCTCGGTTCAGCCTCGCCGGCCTGACAAAGGCGATCTTCGCAGGTCCCCGCGGGGGACAGCATGCTCAGATTCTCTGCGAGATCACACAACATGAACCCCCAATAGGATTTTGGTGAAGCTCAGAACCTCGGGGTGATTTGGGAGAACCTGGGGTGTGATTTTCCATGAATCCTCATTAATTAAGGGTTTTAAGGTTTAAGACTCTGGCCCCAACCAGCTACAATCCGAATCGTCACCAACCAGGGAGGGGAGACTGGAACTGCATGCGGCGCCGTCTAAGCTGTTTTGTCTCAGCATGCGGGCCGCTGTTACGATCTCGCTGTTCCACTACGTGCCTATGCAAGGTCTGCACGCAGTGTAGCGATCACATGCATCCAGCAGATGGTCCATGCAGAGGGTGCTTTATTCTGCTAAGTGGTCAAGAAGTCGTCCACCGTCACCGTGGCAACGAAAGCTCGAGTCTTTATTTGCGTCCCATCTGCCACCTGAGGAGAAGGCCAATCACTCCGCGGACTTCAGACCGCCCACCGGGCCAACTGGCTCACTATGCGGATCCGCCTGCAGCGTCTGTAGGCACACCAGGCCCGTGGCTTCGGATTGGGAAGGGGGAGCTGGAGTTGTAGGGAGGACTGAAAACAACATGTCAGCAAATGGCACATTGCGATCCGTTGCAGCCTTCTGCCGGTCTGTTCCACCATTATTTATGAGGGCCGCGGAGCCAAAGATTGAGACGATGAAGACCTTCGTCTGGTTCTGGCCGAGAATGTTGGCTTGCACGGCAATGCAGATTGCATTCCAAACGACATAGCACAAACAATCCTAATGCGACCCAAAGCCTGGGTGCCGACGGTCTAAGCATTGTTCAGCCGAGGGGCGGAAAGAATGACTGCACACACCACCTTGCGGCAAAGCAGAGATGCGCAAAGCTGCTCCAGTAAACAGCATGGTAGTGGTCAACATTTGGCTAGTCACAGGCGGCCAATCTTAAACTTCGTAGCAGCTCCTGCTACGATTCACAAGGGTTCCATGCAACCGAGGCAGGAAACACGGTAGCACACTGCCTGCGAGTATTTTTTTGACGTGTCGCTGCAACCCCAGCCGAGTAACGGGCTCTGTGCCGCCCACATCATGTCACATCCACCTTCCCGGCCTGGGGCGGCAGCACGAAATAGTCTGAACAGATGAGCTCGATCCCGATGAACACCAAAATGCAGCACCTGGGGCTTCGAATCGAAACACTGTCTCGTTTGATTCATCTTGAAAGAGGAGGCCTGGGGGCTGGGGTTCTCAGCATCCGCAACACAGGCTGTCCTGCCTAATGCAGAGCCGCGGAATATCTGTGCCCATCAAAACCAAACAAATGGATCTCGCAAAAGCGCAAACAGACATAAACGGAAGCAATGTTGCCTGGCACCCGACCTAATAATCTCCCAAAGACATGGGGCAAGCCGTACTTCATCAGTTCGAACATGGCCACGAAATCTTGGACGACGAAGAACATGGCACGTAAGGCAAACATCCTTAGAGACTTGTCTCGAGACGTTTGAGCTTCTTCCTGAGCGAATCCCTTCAGACTCGCGTCAGATTTATAAACAACTCGAGTCTTCAGGTCGGGGAAATATAGAATCATCGGTTTGCCAGTCCGTTGTCAATTTGAGACTCATGTCGGCGTCGGGGTCATTCCGAGTTGTCAGGGCCTTGTCACTCCTTTGCTTTCTGCGTGCCTTGTCTCCGCTCTATTCATGTACCTTAGAAACCTCGATGCGAATTAGTAGAACGGGTCCTATATGGCACAGAGGGCTCACTTCAAACACAGGTCATCACAGGTCCAGGACGACTTCTTTCGGACAGATGGCCGAGTTTCTGTGGGGCTTTCGAGCTGAATACTTGAGGCAGCTTGCTCACAGTGTGGAACCAGCTGGCCGTGAGACCATCGGGAACAGGTCGTGGGGCAAGCGTTGTCCCAGGGCAGTGGGCTCTTGGGTGCAGGATATACGAGCTTCCAGGCAACAGACTCATGATGAAGGACTTAAGAAGGCAAACCGTGAAAATGACAGCAAATAAGGAAGGAGTTACATACAACATAGTGACAACAGCAGTAACAACAAGTGACAACGAGACAGTATGACAAAAATTCTGGAACCCAGCCCAAGCTTTCTTGCTGGATGTTTTGCAACTTCAAGTGCTTCCTGAATTCGAGAACGATGTCGTGTTCACGGTTCTGCACTCAATGCACGCTATCTGCAGGAGATCTAACACGGTGCCGTCCGCTGCTCGTCACCGAAGCCCGACTACGATCGCACCATCGCTCTACCCGTGTCCCTCGATCTGCTGTGCCAGCCACCTTTGAAGCAAGTCATGAAAGCTGGCCACAAAAATGCTCTCGCCTCGGATCCTCGTCCTCGAAAGTACCCCTCTCCTGTCTCTTCTGAAGTACGTCACGATACTTCCAACAGATGCGCGGCTTAGATGCCCCTGGGCCAACTCAAAACTTGGGTTCAAGTTTCGCCAAGATGGAGGAAGACACCGAGATCCAGTAGTCGGGAATCTGGGCCGCCTTTCGACACGCAATTTCAGGCACGGATCCCTGCCTTCGGTGTTGCCGATCAGGCTGCCCTGGCCTGCACGGGCCCACAGGGAACCTTTCATTTTGGGGAGCCTCTCGGTGCCGCCCGAGCATGCGCTGTGTGCTCTTGCCTTTGCTGCCATTTGTTGCCGGAACCCAAATCTGGCATGTTTCGGCAAGAAGGCCCCAGCAAAGCTTTCAAGCTGAACTTTTCGGTAGAGTTCAACGACTTTCCTATGATCGGCTTCAGGTCTGTGGGCACCTAGCGGTTCGTCTCAAGGTTCGTTCTTGCAGGACATTTGACATGGCTGAACCATGCTGAACCTGAGGTGATCGTGGGGACGACTGAGCAAACCTTCATAGCTGTAAAGGAAGGACACCACGCCCCGAGCCAAATCAGAAGGCCCTCCTCAGGAACGAGAAATGTTCAAGGATATCGCAGTCCTGTCATGTTCACCACTGCCTCTCCGGCCTCTTTTCTGACTTCCCAGCAGGATATGGTTCTAGCAACTCTCCTGTAATTTTGACTCATTCTCCTGTCTTCATGAACCTCCGCTTGCTGCGACTCTTAGCTCTTGAGTTCTTCTGCTCACACCTCAACCCGCCTCCGCAACACCTCAGTATCTCAGCCGGGACGACCAATCGTACTTCTGTTATTGGGGCAACCCATTGTAATAGCTGGCTTACATCCGGAGTCGTAGCCTTGGCGCTGACGCTGTCCTGAGTACAACCAAAGCCAGCAGCAGATTCAAACTAGGATTTTCTACCACTCAGACTCATGTTCCCGCAGTCAGAGTCAAGGGTCGAGTGCAAAAACCACATCGGTTATCTCCAGGCCTGGCAGCAGAAGCTATCGTCCGGGTCCACTAGGCGAACATCACATGAGAACACACTGCGAGAGTGGGCAAAATCAATCGAGTGCAGATCTCAAGAATCTGAAGCCATCGCTACCAGTAGTAGCAAGCATGTCCAAGTCGCAGCAAACCACAGGCAGCAACAAAGTGAAGGCCATGTTCCCGTCGCGCCAGACGATCAGGTTGCCTGCGTCCTGCCGCAAACCCCGTTGTACAGCTCTCAATCTAACCTCGCATCGCATATGGCAGACGGCACACATCAAGTAAACTTCCCTTCACGACTTCAAAACCGTCGCGCCTTTCCGTAGTGGTCCAGCAGCCGATTCCCCAAAAGCCAGCGGAGAGCTTTTACCGGAGTTGTGTTCACGGCCTCGCCCTCCTGCAACTGGCATAGCTCCGAGCGTGAAAGAAAGTTGGTCCGCGCAGTCGCTTCACCGTTTGCCGGGCCCAAACGATAGCTAGTTCCTTGAACGAACCATCTCATACCTGAGTCGCACCTGATTGTGGCCGAGTTCGCAACATGTATCTTAAAACTTTGCTTGCAGCTCTCAGAACTTTCCCGACAGCCTCCTCTTCCTTTGCAGCTTGGACACCACTCCTGAATCTCAGCTGCTCAGTCTGTTGGGCTGGACGTGCAGGTGTTAGAACTTCTTTTGAGTCACAAAAGTTCGTCGCTGCAAAGCCTTCATGTTCCTTCCAGCTCCGTTCTCCCGCGTCCGTGAGATCACAAGAAGGAGCTGCGCCGGCCCGCGATGAAAAGGACACAGCCACACATGGAGTTGGCGTGCCTGTGAGCACCTGCTGTTTGCGTGCATGCTATTGTCGATACAAGGTATTCCCACATGTAGCAGACCAAGATCCCAACTTCAAAAAGCAGGCAACTTGGACGGAGCAACAGGAACAAACATGCAAGTCGTCAAAGTGATATTGCGGAAACTTCTTTGGCTTAGGTTCGCAGGGTTCGCAGAGGCGCCTCGGGTCGAGCAATGAGACGAGAGCCCAACACGAGAAGCACTGGGACCCTGAAGGGCGGCTTCGATTTCCATTTTGCTAAGCCAAGCTGCCATATCAAGAATATGCCGAAGATGATACGAAGCCAGCTAACAAAATCCAGGAGCTCCCTGCCCGCGCCCGCAATGTGTTGTCGCACAAAAGAAACGCTCCACTGCACCAAGGGGGAGCAGATTTTGAGTTCCTCTTGCGTCACAGGATGTTCCAACTCTCTTCTGCTTGACACCTTTGCCGAGTAAGGGGGCCCGGGGCATATGTCGGCCTGACGATGGCAAAGAAGCCCAGGCGGCAAATCACGGCTCCAATGATTCCCAGGAAGAGCGCCTCTGGGTCACGAGTCTTCCCTTCCCGACAGACAGCAGGAAGGTCCCAATGAAGCATCGTTGAGGGCCGAGTTTGCTGGTGCTATCTACACTTTTGCGAGCTGAACCTGTGATTCCACGATCGAAACTGCAATCCTTGTATTGTAGGAAAGGCCGAAGCTCTGTAATTTGGTGCAGGTAGGGCCCGGTGAGGCTCTGGATCATTCTGGATTTCTGACGTGTTTTAGTGCCAAGATATCAGCTGACAGGAGACATGCGTGATGTGCGAGCACATGCACATGCGGTACACGTGCGAATACGCACGAGCTACTGCACTTTTCGCAGGCTTTGATCTCCGAAGCTGCAGCTACAGTACTCTCCTTCATTCACTTCATCCACAAACAGAGGTTAAAGGGGCCAAAAGTTGGGAACAGGTCCACTGCAGGGATGGGATACCCTGTGTTGCCGGGGTCCCATGAGGAATGCACAAGCATGTCGTGACTTCTTAAAGTCTTGCTAATCACAGCGCTTGGCAAACAGGATATCCCGCTTCAAATCTAAGGGAGTTTTGCCAACCTGCCGTAGCCAGAACCGCTGGTGGATTGTGGCGGTCACCGCATCATCACGGCTCGTATGACTTGCGCGTTCCATAGGGATTATACAGTACTAGTCAGGGGGCGCCCAGGGGGGAGGATAACATCGATCAAACAAGTTGGCGATGACAAAGGCAGGGGATAACAAACTCAATGGAGCGCATGCAAGGGGTGTCTAAGGGCATTAGGCCTAGCGTAAAACGAATTGTCCGACGAACCGCAGTAACTCAAGGCTTTCAGTGATTCTTGGACTGCGGGTCAAAGGCAGTGGCTTCCCCAAGGACGTGTTTACACATCGACGATAGATAACCATGCATCTTCGGGCATGTCGGGTCTCCTTGACATCTCTACTCCAGGACGCACCATCATCTAGAAAGAAACAGGAATAAGGACGCTAATACAAACAAACCGAAGTCGCAGGAGCTACCAGTAAGTCCAGCCTTGTGCACCACCTGGGAAGGTGTTTTGTAGAGCTGAAAGATCAAATGAAACACGAAGAGGTTGTCCAGCGACAGGAGCCACTCCTTGCATACAACAAAAGCAGACTGAGGGCGGGGATGGCAAAAGCCGTTGCTGCTACAGCAGTCTTTGCTTTTTGTAGCTCAGCAGCCAGAATATATCCATTGAACCATTCCACACCTGAATCTTCACTGAACATCAGCACAGGTCCATGCTCCGACACTTCTAGCGTCCAATGGCTTGTACGCACCTGCCACCGGTCCATGCCGCACGAAGACGAAGGCGTTGTAGCCTGCAGCTTCGGCCATTGCAGCAGACGCCACAGTAAGACTTCTCAGGACACTGATTTTGTGAGCGTGCTGCGTGCACCGGCTGCACCCATCTGTCTGGAACTGCATCTGTCACGAAGGTGTTTCGCGAAGACAGCACAAACCCTGTCCCAGCCTAGTCCGATGCAGACCCAGAAGGCCACCACACAAAGGTGTGCACGGAGGCCCTTCAAGGACAAACGCTGGATGGCAAAGGCATCAAGCAGCCTCAGAGAAAAAACAGACATGAGTACTCACGAAGAAGCCAGGGAACACCCGATGAGAAGAAGCGTAAGAGCGTCCTTCACGGGCCTTGATCGATCTCCTCTGAGCACCGTGCACGACGACCAAAGACAGCCCGGCCAAAACCGCCTGCAAGGCTGCTGGAAAACGCTGGCGCCCATCATCCAAGCAAGTAAGTACAGTACCCACGAGTAAATCTCGGCTCATGTTCTGCCTCCCATTCGAGGTACTGGCAAAGCACTTGGAACCCATCCTATGGAGCACAGAAATGCCTCTCATTCCTTTGAAGCGCAATGAGGTCTTGATCAGAAATAAAAGAAGAGCACAGACACTCCCAGCCTTGTCTGTTGCTGTCCAGCGCGAGTGGCTGCGATGAGCTGCCCTCGTTTTGGCAGAAGTCGTTTGAGCTGCCTGCAACCACCGGGAGGATGGTCAGAGCTGATGTTTACAGTGGTCCGCAAGTTCATGTCGGAAGAAGGGATGTGCAGCCATCATTTCTGCGAAAAACACGAGCAACAAATCCACGGCAGCTCAGAAGTGCGGCATCCCTCTTCAGTTCGTACTCAATGCCTTGAAGTCCTAGTTGTCGAATCACTCAAGTCTCCACAGTCACGTCTTCGCCTCTCCGAACACATCGAACCAAGACCAAAATCCTAGGCAGGGCTCTCGCTTGCACTGATCCAAGTCTATGCTTGTCACGATCCTTGCTAAAGCCTCGTGCACCTCTGGGAGAACCTCATCTTGAATATCTCAGAATGCAAACTTCTATGCCCACTGCTGCCACTGCTTCTCAGAGCTTGTTGCACGACGTCCGGCCGAGATCCGACGACGGATGAGAGCCTCGCAAGCGGGTAGCCGCGAATGTTTGCGGCGTCTAGCGGAGCTCTGCCTGGGCCTCGGCTTTTGGACGTGCTCTGTAACGTTTGGCAGTGAGTCCTTGACCTGCGCTGCCTGCGCTGCGACGTAGCGGGCATTGCCCTGAGCTGCGAAAGCCTCACCACGGCCTTCAGCGTGGTCGCTCGCTGGATCAGAGCGTCACCCTGGGAGCGGACCTGCAGCACTGCAGGAACAAAAACGTCCTGGAATAGCTGAATAGCACGTTGTCTAGCAAGCCCGTTGCTGCATCCCCGAACAAGACCAGACAACAGGTGCAGGGAGTTTCAGGCCTTGGGGCAGAATTCGTCGGTTTCACCTTAGGTCACGGAAAGTCTAGGAGTCTAGGAGACACGCCTCAGGCCTCAAGAGGCAGCTCCAAGGCGACGGCGGACTGAGACCTACCTGCAGCGCCTGCAGCCTTCAGAGCTTGCGATCTGTTTGGTATAAGCAAGTGGCCGGCGGCGATGACCTGTCGGGTCTTGCTTGGGTCACATCTTGCACAGGAGCACCGGACGAGCAGAGGACCTGGAGGGCTGCAGTACAAATGAGCTTCAAGATGGGTACGGCCATGGCCTCAAGGACTGCACTGGCTTTCAAAGCAGGCTGAGAAAGTGGAGGCGGCAAGGCACCAGTGCTGACGTCGCTCTTATGGCAAACCGAGCTGAGCTTCTGACCTCGAGAAAATACAGTAGTTCTAGTACCAGATGGTCACGTAAGTAGCCGAGGGTTGGTGGAGCCAGGGCTGCAGTTCCAGCGAAACGAATCAGGGACACGAACCTGAAACTGCTTTACGCGCTACTTGACTTCTTACGGAGAGGCGACCCTGTCCAGTATAGCAGAAGCTGTAAGGAGATACAAAGGAGGGACCATGAGATCAGCACTGCCACTCATGCTTTGCACTCGCTCCCGTCACAGTTCTACACCAGCACTACGTCACTATGCCACTTTGACATTCCTTCAATCTCGTCACGTGCAGTCGCCCTTTGTTCGGAGAGGTGCAAGTTGATTCTTGCCCGTGCTTTTGAGAATTCAACGAAGGGAACGTAAAAGAAACCGCCCGTCTTTCCTTGCCGAAGGATATGCTCTGTTCGAACGTTTGGCCGCTTTGGGCTCCGAGCTGATGCGCGAAACGGAAGGTACCTGTGGCACCCATGACGCTTCGCCACAGAAATTGTGAGGGCCTGAATCAGTCTTGGCTCGAGATGGCGACCCACTCCGGGGCATCACATGACGCACTGCTAGGGCTCACTCTTGCTGCCGACCAAGAGCAGCTTCGTAAGCGCCTGCAGACTGTACCTCGATCCCGAGAACCGCTCCTATTGCGACGGCTGTTTGCTGTGGCACCGACGAGGACGGCGGCTGCTACTTCCTCCTCCCCCTGGTCCTGGTCCTGCTGCTGAAGCTGAAGCTGAAGCTGCTACTGCTTCCACTGCCACTGCCACTGCGACTCTGACTGCTAGTGCTACTGCTGTGCTACTGTTGGTGCTAGAGCTACTGCTACTGCTACTGCTACTACTACTACTGCTACTACTACTGCTGCTACTGCTACTACTGCTACTACTGCTACTACTGCTTCTACTGCTACTACTGCGACTACTGCGACTACTGCTACTCCTACTCCCGACGACGACGACGACGACGACTACTGCCGCCATTAGCCATCATTACAACTTACAGTACCACTGTCACGACGACTGCGACGACAACGACAGGATGTAGCAGCCCCCCAAAGAACGCCGAATTAAAGGCTTGTGCAAGACAGCTGCACTCTGCAGCACGCTCAACATTGTCTCCGAAATTGTTTCCTCTGCAAGGGCACTCGTAGATCGAGAAGAAAGCCATAGCTTGAGGAACGGTCCGCAGCATCTGCGCCAAAATGCCTTCAGGTGGCTTTTGAAAGAGTCTCTGAGCGATGACACTGCGCAACCACTTGGGCGATCCCATAGAGGCCCACGAGTGGGTCGCAATGGCAACAGAAAGTCTGCTCCCGATGCAGCCCGGCGGAACCTCGATAGAAAGCTGGCAGTCCCTTCCTCATCCAAAGGAGTTGTACCGTGCGAGGGGCACTGGTGTACCTGTTGGCAGCCCAGGGCAAGACACACGCAAGGACTTCACCTTGACTTTTCTTGCAGCTGTGCAGCTCGAAAGCTTCTGCGTTGGTTGGGCGCTGCTGCATGACCGACCTTTAATGCGAGTGCTGAAGGAGCTTGCCTGTCTTTTCCTTGCTGTCGGAAGCCGTCTATTCCATGCCAGGCTGCCGAACCACTTGGAGTGGGTAAGTAGCCTGACGCAACCATCCCGGGCTTGCTTGGATATTCTCGTTCCGCATGCAATCATTTGCTGTATGGGGACGTGTGCAGTGTCTCTGAATGCCACACTTTGGATGATGCGCATTGCTGGTGTGGAACCACTGAAGCAAAGATCTTCGCCGAAGCAGATGCCGCCAGCACCGAGTCAAACAGCAGCTTGAATTGGTCCTTGCGCGACATCCGAGACCAAGGCGGGGTGCCGTACCAGCTTTGCGTCTTAGGACTTAGGAGACGGATTCTAGGCTCTCTTCACACAATGCTATTGCTCAAATCAATGACTTTGCCCCGAGCGTCGTAGGAGACCAGAAGGACAGCACCATGCGAGCAGAGAAGGAGTGAAGGACCAAAGCCGCGATAGAAGCCTCCAACGCGAGCAACATGCTGCATTGGCTGCACTCTGGGGTCAGAGACCGACACGACACTGAATCAAAGATCAAGGGGCCTGACTTCAGAACTGTTAACCATTGTGGAACTATAAGCGCTACAGTCCTGTGTGTGCCTGTGTTCGTCTAGCTCCGGGCACTGGCTCTGCCTGCAAGTCCTTCTTCCTTGCCGATGGTCGACACCTGAAATAACGAGAGCTTCAACAGGCAGCCAGGGCGGGAAAGCAAAATTTCCTCTGGACCGGAGTTCCTTCCAAAACGAATAAGACCAGAAACCGACCGTCAACTGACTGCCAAACTGCTTGGATTTGCGGCTTCAGCTCGTTAAATCTGCCGGCACCATCCGAGGCTGGAAGAAAATGCACGCACGCGGCCGTTCTGGAAGCTTGTGGGCCCTACAGTCCTGGGGTCTGTGGCTGTTGCGCGCATTGGGTGGGCTCGGTGTCCAGCAACGAAATTCAACCGCTGGACTCGTCGGACTTCCTCGACTCTGATCCAGCGCTCAGAAAAGGACGACACGGTTGCTGTGTGTTGCTGTATTCATCTCAGCGAAGGTGCAGTTCAAAATGCTCCGTAAAGGGTGTTGGATGTGTTTCGGAGCTGTGTATCATGAAGGAAAGCGAGCAACAGTCAGCAGATAAACTCAACAAACCTTCCAAGACTTCACCAAGGTGTGGAAACCTGAAGTACGCAAGAAACTCAACCCGAGGCATATCACTTGGGCAGAACGTGACGAAAAATCTGCAGAAATCAAGTCCGCAGGGCTGTGGGAGTGCATGTTGTTGAAGCTGATTCTGAAGTTATTGTTGGCGGGTTCACTTCTGCTGGTCCTCATGTTCTGGCTACGGCAATTACGCACATTTCCGTGCAAGCTTAAAGTTAAGTGGTCTCGCTTCTTGAGATTATTGGTGCAGTTCCATCTGCATAGCAAAGCAGTGAATGTTTTAACGGCATTACATATGGAAATATTGCTGGTGTTGCTAACACTCTCGTTAATGGTTCCCAATTCGTACTGTTTTATCTATTGACAACACTGATACTTCACTGCAAACTCGTACTGCTTTCTCTAATAACCGATATTACAATGCAACTAGCATGATTCGCACCACTAGTGCAGCCGCGGTTTTGCACTACACCTATGATCGTTCTCTTGGCGCTTCTTCGTGGTTTTTTCTCGTGCATTACACAC